GCTCCAGCACCTCAATGTCCTTCTTGTAGTGAGGGGCCCAAAACTGAACACAGTGTTTGAGGTGCAGCCTCACCAGTGCCGCGTACAGGGACACGATCACCTCCCTACTCCTGCTGGCCACTCTGTTCCTGATACAAACCAGGATGCCGCTGGCTTTCTTGGCCACCTGGGCACACTGCTGGCTCATGTTCAGCCAGCTGTCAACCAACATCCCCAGGTCCTTTTCCGCCGGGCAGCTTTCCAGCCATTCCTCCCCAAGCCTGTAGCGTTGCATGGGGTTGTTGTGACCCAAGTGCAGGACCCAGCACTGGGCCTTGTTAAACCTCATACAGTTGGCCTCGGCCCATCAATCCAGCCTGTTCAGATCCCTCTGCAGAGCCTTCCTACCCTCAAGCAGATCAACACTCCCACCCAGCTTGGTGTCATCTGCAAACTTACTGAGGGAGCACTCGATCCCCTCATCCAGATCACTGACAAAGATGTTAAACAAGACCGGACCCAAAACTGAGCCCTGGGGAACACCACTCGTGACCAGCCGCCAGCTGGATTTAACTCCATTCATCACCACTCTGTGCGCTCGGCCACTCAGCCAGTTCTTTATCCAGTGAAGAGCACACCCATCCAAGCCACTTTCTCCACATATATATCCACATGCATTTAAGACTAGAAAGGAAATCAGGGCAGGCTCCAAGCTCCACACAGGGCCTAACAGATTTTCCTTACTGCGCTGTACAGAAGCACAGCATTGTATACTATCTACTGGGGCAGCTCATCTAAAAATATCTCGTCACGCACAAAACGCTCTTGCTAAACAACACTCGTGATAAAGACCAAATGAAGCTCTTCGGTTGTATCCTGGCTCTGCGCTGTCGCATGCATACAGCTTATGGATGTCACAGATAAAAGGATATCCTCTCTCTCAATCTGTTCATTAGTTGGCAGTTTAAATTGTTCGTCTATATCCAGGTTGAGCTGCAGATCCGGGCTCTCTTCCTCCTTCTGTCCCACTTTCTGCCTGCTTGTCTCATCTACTGCCTTCTCCTCCTCCTCCTCCTCTTCACTCTCATCTTCACTGAGGCCTCCCCTAAGGACAAAGAACAGGACGGATGTTTTACACGAGAACAGTATCACGCAGGCACTTCGCAACTACCGTTTCTTAGATGGCAGAGAGGACACAAGAATGAACAACACAGGCTCCTCATCTAACCAGGCAAGACTCTGCAGACTGACGATGTTCTCAAATCCTCACCTATCAGACTTCTGCTTCAGGGCAGCTTTTTCAATAGGCAGCAACTAAACAGAGACAAAAAGATTAATGAAACAGTGTCCCCAGCTGACCCCTTACTTCCCACTGTCTATGGAATTTATCTGCTCTGTTTACAAAGGACAACAAAGAAAAGCACTGAATGTTATGCTGGGATCAGTTGCTAAACTTGACATTGTTCCTGTAAAGGCAAAAAGAGGAAAGCCCTCTGCCCCCCCCCCCCCCCCCCCCCCCAGTAAAGCCACCCTTTTTTCCGCGGGCCCGATGAGTCCCTTCAGCCAGCAAAGTCAAGTATTTCTTGCATGATTAAGGGCAAAAAGCTCCTACCTCTTCTTCCTCTGATGACAAGGCACCATAATCATCTACCATGTCCTCGCTGCTTCCATCCTCCTCCTCCATCTCCCAGCTGCCCTCTTCCACCTCACCATCGCTGGATAACTCCACGCTGTTGCCTTTAGGAGGGATTTTCTTGGCTTTCGCCGGAGCCAGCCATTTCGAATTGCCGTCGCTGAAGCCAGCCTGGCCCCGAGCAGTCTGTCCTGCCGCCTTCACCGCACGTCTGTCCTGTGGGGGCACCTGCTCCTCAGCTAAAGGCAGAAGCAGCTGTTAAAAGCCAGGCAACACTCTCAAAGGCAGCTGCCCCGGTTTTTTTTAGTTACTATACAAAAAAGACAGCGCTGCCGCCTGGCGCAGACCAGAAATGGGGAAAAACTCGTTTAAAACAGTGAAACATGAACCTGTCCCGTGCCGTAAAAAGAGGCCGGAGCCTGGGGGGTGGGGGGGAGGTGTATGCGGG